GTATGTGTATGTATATGTGTATATGTGTATATGTATGTGTGGATATAAGTATGTATATATATGTGTGTATGTGTATGTGTGTATATGTATATATATATATATATTTGTGTATTTGTGTGTGTGTGTATGGTTACATATTTATACATGACAAGAACAACTATAATATGTGTGTATGAATATTGTATATGTATGGCTATGTCTGTATGTATGTGTGGGCGGGAAGGTGCAACCGTATAAAGTGAATATAGGTATAGGGGGTGGGAGCCTATAAGTTTGACTTCTTCCCACTCCTTTTTGAGCTTTAACAGGAGTGAAAATAAATTAAAAGTGAAAATAAATAAAAATAATAAAAATAAAAATGTATATATACATTAATGTATGTATGTATGTATGTAAATTTCTATCATGTATTGTATGTAATTTGCTTTTAAATCTATAAATTGATTCCTGTTTATAAGCTTGAAATAAAATCAATCAATCAATCAAAATCAATCAATGAATATTTTATTTAAGTGTCATACACATACAGTATGTGCCCAGCCCTCATGGGCTTATATGACACTATCAACAAAAAGGAAGATATAGCCACACCTGTGGACAAAGATATTACTGTCTCTCTGGTTATAAAGTCCTTTGTCTCAGTGTCCAGGCCTTTTCAACAAAGTTTGCCACTGCAAAAAATTCATTTTCAAATATCCAACACAGTCTATCACAATCAGAAAGCCAAAACAAATCAGGATTTTTACATTGAATCTTTGTGAACAATACCATTCTTAGGTCATTGTACGTAGGACAGTAAAACAAAAAATGAAATTCATCCTCCACTACTCCCAGCTCACACAGCGCACACAGTCGACCATCCAGTGGAACCCCCTTGTAACGCCCCACCTCAACCTCAAGGGGCAGCACTCCTGCTCTGAGCTGAGCACATAGAGACCTCTGCCCTTTTCTCAGATTAGATTTTAAATACATTTCTGTGGAAAAACAGTTCTTAAACTGGACATAAATTCTGAGCTTGGTTTTCTTCAAAACTTTAACTTTCCATTCTTTCTCATATATATCATTTAACATTTTCCTTAGAGTTACCAATTTACATTGTAAATTATTTTGAAATAAGTATCCGAATTCAACTTTTGACAATATTTGCAGCACCTCTTTGGACCAGGGATGTCTGTGACTTCTGTCCCAGTTAAAAATCTTCCGTGTAATTCTGTCTTCTGGTAGACAAACAAGGCAGTTCCACAGTCGGATCATCTCTACCTTTTGTTTTACAACACAAGGTTCCCAACCCATATCACCCTCTATCGCCGCTCTGGGTGTAAACCTATGAACTCCTAGGAAATATCTCATGGCCCTGCCTTGTATATTATTACACTCTGGAGCTACCTCAAAGCCCCAAACGCCTGCACTATAGAGGAGTATAGATCCCACCATTGAATCGAACAGTTGTGTAAAAATATTAAAACTTAAATCAGCACAACTGTGTGTCATCTGCATAACTGTGGAAGTTAATTCCATGTCTCCTGATGACACCGCCAAGAGGGAGCATCCATCCATCCGTCCATCCATTTTCTTCCGCTTTATCCGTTGCCGGGTCGCGGGGGCAGCAGTCTAAGCAGAGACGCCCAGACTTCCCTATCCACACACACTTCCTCCAGCTCGTCCGGGGGGACCCCAAGGCGTTCCCAGGCCAGCTGAGAGACATAGTCCCTCCAGCGTGTCCTAGGTCTTCCCCGGGGCCTCCTCCCGGTGGGACGTGCCCGGAACACCTCCCCAGGGAGGCGTCCAGGAGGCATCCGGAACAGATGCCCGAGCCACCTCAAGTGGTTCCTCTCGACGTGGAGAAGCAGCGGCTCTACTCCGAGCTCCTCCCGTGTGACTGAGCTCCTCACCCTATCTCTAAGGGAGCGCCCAGCCACTCTGGGGAGGAAGCTCATTTCGACCGCTTGTATCCGCGATCTCGTTCTTTCGGTCATTACCCAAAGCTCATGACCATAGGTGAGGGAGGGAACGAAGATTGACCGGCTCCCCCCTGGACAGCCACTCCCCCCTGGACTGCCACCTTAACGTGGTGGGGGAGTTTGAGTACTCGGATGCTCCTGGGAGCTATGCTGTCTGGGGCTTCATGCCCCTGGTAGGGCCTCCCATGGCAGACAGGTTTCAGGTGACGAGTCAGACGAAGAGCGGTCCAAAAACCACCATGGACAGCACAATAAATACACCCGTGACGTCGCCCGGCATGGCGCAGCCGGGGCCCCACCCTGGAGCCTGGCCTGGGGTCGGGGCTCGTATGCGAGCACCTGGTGGCCGGGCCTTAGCCCACGGGGCCCGGCCGGGCTCAGCCCGAAGGGATGACGTGGGCAGTCCCTCCTGTGGGCCCACCACCTGCAGAGGGGTCCGTGGTGGCGCGGTGCTGAGAGGACTGGGCGGCAGTTGAAGGCGGAGTCCTCGGCGACCCAGTCCGCACACACAACACAGACCACACTCTGTCTGTTAAATAAGAGGTTATAGAGCAAAGGCAAAGAATACAGATTTGGTATATGTAGCATTCAATGATACAAAAACACATTGGTAAACTTGAATAGTAACACAACAAACTGCTTTAATATACAGTAACTGCAGATGCATCCCAAAACAAGCAGAGGACCGATGTTGTAAAAACACTTCTTAACACATCTTGAAGAAAGCATCTAGTGCCTCCTCGGAGCGGGTGAGAAGTGCTGGTCCTGTTGGGTTGGGGCTTAAATGAAGGTGAAGGCCCTCCTCAGTCTGGAGAAGAGCCGTGACAGCGCAGACTTGGGGTGCTTCTGAACGGCACTCAGCTCAGCGTTTATGTTTCACCGCAGCCACTTCAAATGCAGCCGAGTCCTCTTCGCGAGCTGCCCTCAGGAGTGCGTCTGCGTCTGCTCAGTCATACTCCACCAGGAGACATTTTGTGGCTGCTTTACAAACTTTTTCCAAGTCGTGCACCTTTATATGGCAGTTTTCATCTAACTATATCTGCTCCTTTTTGTTGTTAAGCAAACACCATTAGTTATGGTGGTCTTTAGATCCAGACAGTTTGAACAGTTTGTGGGTGAGTGCATTGGTGACAAAGACGGAGCCTTTAAATCCCACATAGTGCAGTAGAAGTGTCAAGTTGTCGTGAAGTCACACTATCCATAGATAGATAGATACTTTATTGATCCCTATAGGAGAAATTCAAATGTCCAGTAGCAGCAAAAATAAAAAATAAAATTGATCATTCTAAAAAATTTAAAATAGTAATAATCAGCAACAGCCCTTCAGGTCACTGCAGAAGAGGTGGAGCAGGACGAGTGACAGCAGCAGAGATGGAGTAGTCTCTGGGTGGAGCAGGACGGGTCACAGCAGCAGAGATGGAGTAGTCTCTGGGTGGAGCAGGACGGGTCACAGCAGCAAAGATAGAGTAGTCTCTGGGTGGAGAAGGACGGGTCACAGCAGCAGAGGTGGAGTAACCGCTGTGTGGAAAAGGACAGGTCACCAGGCGGAGTAGCCGCTTGGTTCAGACCATTTTCTCTGCTCTACTCCAAAGTAAAATGCTATATGCTTCATTAGCATTTTTCAAAAAGTTAGCATTCCTCCAGTGGATTTCACTTGATTCACTTGGTTCGGACCATGAATTCTCTCCGTTATGGTCTGGACCAGTGCAAAACTATCAACACTGTACTGCACCAACATCTCAGGTAGAAAAAAGCAATAAAAATTCAAAAGCACAAAACAACTGTTTCAACTGTTTTCCAGCGCATTCAAAAGTCTAAGGATGTAAAAAAGGACATGACCACTGACTGTCTGGAGCCTTGAGTCTTCTAGAGAACATGTCAAGCTATTTTCATCTGTAGTCCCATCATCTGGGCTTCCAACACTATCTTCTAACTTTTTGGTCTGACCTTCTTGAGGGCAATTCTCAGACTACTCAATGCGGATCCGAGTGAAAAACATTGTTTCCAGGACATTAAGGTTAGGGTTAGGGCTTTTCAAGATGCTGGATCTACTCATCCATTTCAGATCTGATGTCCTGGGTTACATCAAGGACATTGCAAACAGATACTTCCTTGTTTTCAGTCTGGGTGAGTTCTGGCGACTTCTCCTGGTGACTCGGGAGTGCTGCCCGTTCAACACCGCCAGTAGCGGTGCCTTCACAGGTTTCTAGAGACACAAAGTCCTTGGAAAGTTTCTGAATCTCCTCCTCAATGATGTCCAGGGAAACAGCTGCTGTTTTGTCTTGGGAATAATTTTATTCCCAAGGCAAAACAGCTCTGGCTCCCTAATAAAGTTGTATCCAAACAAATGGAGTACTTTGTGATCCGTGTTTCTTTTGGCGGCATTCTTGTCTATGCCAAGCCTCACCCCGATCACCTCCGCTGCTGTGAGCTGGACGTAAAAGATCCAAGGATATGATTGTTTGTCGACATCCAGACCAGTGTATTTAGAAGGAATCCTTGTCATGTTTACCACTATTGTATGAAGGCAAGATTTGGGGGTTTCATCCTGTCGGAAGGTAGGACGTTCTCTCCCGCAGACAACTATTTTGTCAAGGAATGAGGAAGACTCTGGTTGAATTTGTTGGGCACAGAGGTGTTTAGTTATGTAAGTACTGGGTCCTTTAGCTTATGCAATATGTAAAAACAAAATAAGTGGGACATTTCACACATACAGGACAGTAGTATATGAGCACACAAAATATACAATATAAGTAGCTGCTATGCTTCTGAGCTAGCTATAAATACTTCTATATCTATCTATCTATCTCTTTATCTGTCTATATAGATGTATTTATATATGTACATACAGTATATACAGAATTGGACAGTCCACATGCAGCATACAATGCTAAGTAGTAATATTGGGAAGTGTTATATCCTTTGTAGTCTAATATTATTTTATTGAATTTCACTTACTTTTGTAAATCAAAGCATGGCTAAAATGCAGTACTATTAACTGCAAATCCTCCATCGTAATGTCTCGACCCAAACTGCTCCATGGTGAGGTGGGTGCACAGTATTGAACAGCTGTAATCCAATCATTTTAACCTAAAATCTAAAACACAATTAGTTAATTTCAAACTATTTTCAGCAGTTCAGACGTATACCAAAACTTACTCCTTACATTGTAGTCATTATTTTTTCTGACTGCAATTTTGCAGATCGCACAATTTTAGAGATGATCAGGAGTCATTAACATAGATAGATTTAGCCTGTGTTTGCACAAACGCTGACATATCCATTGCCGAAAGTAAAAAAACAGAGGTAAAAAATAGACTCATTCCTAAGAATTTCCTACATCCAAACAATGATTGAGGTCATACAGGACACAACCAGGGTTTTTTCTGCTGTACAAGTACCAGGCCCTGCTTTTCTCATTTGATTTGACAAGGAGTTCCAGCCTTTGGATATAAATTAGTCATCACTTTTGGAAAAAAAAAGACAAACATGCACTCCCAAATATATATGACAAATACCATCATTTTCAGACACTGACCCTGCTATATGTTATACCCTTTTCCAGCACACCTTTCCCACACATGCCCCCGCACAGCCCAGAGATCATTGTTTCCACACGGGTCTTTGATGGCTGAGTCACAGGCCATGTCCTGTATCATATCAGCATCAGGAGAAGAACACCAGTTTAAAGGCACCAGCTGGTTCCCTTTCATCCTCTCATCCTCCTCCTCTCTCCTCCCGCATCCCTCCATCCTCCCACTGCTTTCACAATGGTGAGCTAAGCCAGGGAAGATAGGGCAAATCCCTCCTCTGAGCATAGCAAACCAGAGAGAGAAACACTTCCTCAAAAATTCTATAATTTTCTCTTCTTGTTTTGTATTAGCTTGTGTTCTCCTTGAACACATTTAGGCACGACCAAGAAATAACACAAATATTGGTGTTACACATATACATATACAAATTTGTATATGTCATTTATATAAATTATATAAATATACATTTCCAATTGGTTCATTGAAATAGAGTCTCGTGAAATAAAGAATTGTGATTTGACTTTGCCTATAAATTGTTTCTATGTAGTATGTAGCCTACTAATTAAACTTACCTCAATTAAAATGTTTTCATAAATGGTGTTCAAACTCCCTCTAGTGGATAAACGCGGCAGTGCACTAATTGCTATTGCGATATATTGGCTTCTAAAATGAAACTGACTTTTTATTTATTTATTTATTGAGACAGATGAAGCTCTACATTATATATCTTGATACCTGATAAACGGAAATCTGAATACCACAGATGTATTAAATGGCTCAAAGATAACTACAAAATAGGAATATGTCTTATACTAAAGTATGCTTTTCTGCTGATCTATATCCATGCTATACACTCCATACTCTGAATATGACAGGACTATCCCCTAAGCGCGTGCCCCAAACAGGTGTGCAAAACTCGAAAGATGTTACCTTCAATTACTTTGGGAATTGCATAAGGATAGAAAGACTTGTTATTATTACAGTTACTGTTCACATACAATTACGGTTTGTTTTTTAATATTGACATCTTGATAAATGTGACAGGATATAGAGCTATGTATAATTCGTTTTTGTTTGATAAATGCTTGGTTGATCAGGGTGATGGTGTAAAGTCTGACCGTGTAGCGGACTCTTAAACGCCACACGCGCTGGTGCGTGCTCTGTGCTGACGAGCCGTTGCTTTAGGAAACAGCTGGTGGTTTCTGTCAGGCAACAATTCGCATTTACAGCAACCTTTTGAACAAATTAAGCTTAGATCAGGGTCGGCATACACTTTAAGGCTCTGTTTGAAGTGTCTGGAACACTTCGGGGTGGTACTGGGGGATGTCATGCCCGGCTTGTTACTTTAAAATACAGCTGTTCATGAAGGACTGGCCTTAGCGGCTCGTGCGGCTCGACTCAGCTAACGCTAACTTTAGACGCTATAGCAACGAGCAGAAAGACTGTCACCTGCCGACTCACCCCGGGACACCGAGGAAGAGGTTTGACTTGTGGAAAATGGCACATGTTCACTATAAATTCTCTTCAAAACTCGACTACAACACAGTGGTATTTGACAACTTGAACGTCACGCTGATCGATCTGAAAAGGCTGATAATGACCCGAGAGAAGCTCCGAGCCTCGGACTGTGACCTGCAAATAACCAACGCACAAACCAAAGAAGGTAACAGCCAACCGTAAAGCTAGTGTTTTAGTTAGTTATGTCGGTCTTATTGAAGCATTTCAGCCTCGTCTGTGGAGTACACACGTGTTTCAGGCTGACAGCTGTCTGGTCCAGGAGCAGTATCATCTTTTTAAATTGGTATGTTTATGTGAATGGTGGCAAAGCAGAAAGCAGCTTATTCTAATGAAAAGGGTTCATTGAACACCTCTTGCACTTAAGGGCACCCTTTGGGCCGTGTGAGTGTGTGTGTCTCAGTGTAGTGATGGTTAAGTGTGGATAAAAATAGCATGCTGTTCTGATTAAAGAAGCCAGCAGCTGCTGTACAAGGTTTTTGGGAAATGGCCCTGATTATGTATCTGAATTATGAATATATAACATTATTGTGTTATTATTATGATTGCACCCCAGAGTACACAGAAGATGCCAGCTCAATTCCCAAAGGCTCCTCGGTCATTGTTCGCAGAGTCCCCTCACGTGCAAGAAAGTCTGGCTCAAGTGTCAATAACAGGTGGGTTTCAAATGTAAATACAAGGCCTATTTGACCTTTCACGTCTCTCCACAAATTACAAAAAGAACTATAATGTTAATTTGGTGGAACTGCAGGTGGCTGAATCTTTTGGACGAATTGATGAAATAAATTGTACATGAAGGGAGTGATGGCAAAGACGGGAGTGAACAAAGGCACTAGGCTTAGACCTGAAACCAGCAGGGCTATTGTCATTATGTGGACTGGTGCTCAGACCTCACTGGAACAAACTATGGGTCATGTGACATGCCTTGTCAGCACCATGCAGTGTGGCCTTTATGCCTGCTTATCAAAATACTTTAGTACCATGGTCTACTAAATTAGATTTAAACAAACGACTACTTTGTGATACAATCTGCTCACCTATTCGTAACTATGCTGCCCTTAACACTCCTTACTGCGCCATTGTGCCTAATACAGGTACATCTAATTCAACTTATTTCTCTATTAATTGATAAAATATAACAATTACACTCCATCAGATAATAAAAGTAAGATGGATCTTCTCTAGAGTCAAATCAAACATTCTGGGATGGACCGGTTTGAACTCAAAACTGACACATAAAGTATAATTCAAAAATTATCTTAAACGTTCATATGAATGTGTTTCACCTGGAGCTCTTTGCTTTATTTCAAGATCTTTTTAATCACATTTCCAGTGAAATTTGCTTAATCTTTGGTCATTCTACAGTCAAATACACCCTCTCTCCAGACACCAGTGAGACCATAGAAAATGTAGGCAGACTTTGGAGTTTGATTTTTCCCTGTTCAAATCCTACTTATTAATAGAGTAAATTAGTAGTCATAGGCTGAAACTACAGGGCCTTTGCTTCACAAAGAGTCTAGCCACTAGTGTGTGCTCCCAAGCACACGGTGGCTGAGTGGATAGCACTCTCGCCTCTCAGCAAGAAGGTCCTGGGTTCAAATCCCGGCCGGACCAGGGCCTTTCTGAGTGGAGTTTGCATGTTCTCCCCGTGTCTGCGTAGGTTTCCTCCGGGTGCTCCGGTTTCCCCTACCACTAAAAATATGTACAATAGGTCTGGCATGTGCCTCCTGTTCTGGCACCCCCACTCCCAAAAAAAAATAACAATTGTAAACCGCTTTGAGACTCCGATGTGCAGTGAAAAGGCGGTATATAAATAAAGATTACTTACTTACTTACCCAAGGTGTTCTCGGACAGATTTTAGATTCTTAAATTGTAGAGAAATGGTCTGTGTTGTTGGGGTTTAATATAATTATGTTTTCCTTTCAGTAAGCGTTCTGAAGCCGTCAGATCCCCCTATGGACTCTACAGATCAGTACGTAATCCAAGCTTGCACAAAACACTAGTAAATAAAGTCAGAATACAGTCAATTAGATTTTTTACTACATATATATTTTAAATAATAATACTTCAAAAAAGGGCCAGATAAATAAGACAGTTCCACTATCTGTGGGATGACACTTGGGTGGGTTAGCTTTATCGGGCAGTTCCTCTCTTCAAAGCTGATAAAAGATGCAGAACCACTGGTATCTACAGACAACACAAGCCTTGTTTAAAGCTTTCTGGGGCGGAGCCCTGTTTAATGAATCTCTGGGGCGGTTTTACATGTTTAATGGATCTCTAGTGTAGCCATGTGCATGCGTCTGTATAAGTGTCCATAACTTGACTATCTCTGATTTCTCAGCAGGCCTGTCTCAGTCCATCTGGACTGTTCATACATATGTTTTGCTTGTTTATTTATCAATAAAGTTGCTTATATAAAGCTGCTTAAGACATTTGTTGTATGTGTTTTCTGTCAATTAATCTTGAATTGAATATTCACTGTACATGGTCATGCCAGAAGACATCACTGCAAGATTAACAGGGTCAAGGCATTAGTGCACCATACATGCTACACTTTTAGAAACATATATTATTATAAGTATATTCAATCAGTCAAGTGTGTAATGAATAAAGGTCTGTTGTAAAATAAGTTTACACACAACTGCAGCTTTTCTCCAAACTTGTTTACAATGTTTAGTGCTTTCAATAATAATTATGTTCAATTCTAGCAAGTGGAAGCTAAGAAAACTACAGGCATTTCTCCCATTTTCTTAAAGGTAAGGTTTACTCTAGTTGATAAACGTGCCTTTGTTATAACGCAGCCTTTTTACACATCTATGTGTTGTGCAGATGGCTGCCATCTCTAGTTTAGATGGCACGGAAGATGATAAGATCAAAACCGTATCGAATCAGTGCTTCTATGACAGCTCAACGTGAGTTGTTTCTCATTCTTGTATGAGGGGTTTTCTTCATCTCCTGCATTCTGACACATATTAATATTTATCTTTTTTACTTTTTCTATTTCTTAATCTTGTATTAATGTATGCATAATTATTCTTTTTAAAGCTACAAGTATGGTGCCCCACTTCCTGCAAACTACACTTGTTATCGCTGCGGATCCAGTGAGCATCACATCAGAGACTGTCCTCTGGCTTTGGTATGACCAAAGCAGCTTAACCTTCAGATGAATTACGTTGACTATATTTCCATCATGTCTTTGTGTAATGGCAGGATAATAACACAGAACCTGCAGTCAAAATTAAGAAGAGCACAGGCATCCCTCGTTCTTTCATGGTTAAAGTTGACGATCCCAGTATTAAAGGTGCCATGCTTACCAACACCGGAGACTTTGCAGTTCCAGCCCTTGATGCGTGAGAACTTTGAAAAGGTCCTTCTATATATACCCAATCTTCAACTTTACTTTCATGCGTGTGCTTTTGTTCAATAGTGAAGTCTATGCAGCTTCGAAAAAGAAGACTCCCGCTCAAGAGCTGCCAGTGCAGGTTCCCCCTGACACTTCTATCCCAGATGAACTTATGTGCCTCATCTGCAAAGACCTGCTCACCGATGCTGTGGTCATTCCATGTTGTGGAAACAGCTACTGTGACGACTGTAAGTGACCAATGTGCATTTAAGACTGTATTCCACTGTTTATATCTCCAATGAATCTCCCAGGTATCCGCACTGCTCTGCTGGACTCCGATGACCACGTTTGCCCGACCTGTGACCAAGCCGAAGTCTCCCCAGATACACTCATAGCCAATAAATTCTTGCGACAGGTGACATGATTTTTTTTTCCCCCTTTTTAAGGAAGTGTATTTTTACTTCAACATGTCTTAGTTACATGTACTAACCTTTGTACCCAGGCTGTGAATAACTTTACAAATGAAGTGTCCACCCAGAACCTTAAGAATACATGCAGCACTCCCCGGTCTCAGGATTGTACTCAAAGACCAAGTCCAGCCCCGACTCCACCGCCTCAGATCCAACCTGAAAAGATGCCGGTGCGTTAATAGGACCATAATTAAAGCTTTGAAACTTCACAAAATGAATCTAGTCTTGTAAAATCCATGTCACGAGTTCAATGTATTTATGAAGCAAAACTTGTTTTTAATTTTATAAAAAAATATTCCATACTTTTCCATACAGTAGACGTCATGCACTCATGTTTTTCTTCCCCAGGTAGCAGACATGCAATCAGTTTCAAGTACTGACTCACCCACCAGTTCCGCAAACACCTCCCCTGTTGTGAAAACCGTTGATGAAACAGCTGAAGAGTAAGTGATTAAGAAAACTCCAAACATGTCTCATTTTAACTTGACAATCCCCATTTGATGCAATATTGCGTTGTTTACTCAGGAAAGAAGATCCAACAAAAGCCTGCTCTTCACCAGAAAATCCTTCTGTGTCGGTTTCAGAAGCAGACGGTGGTGATAATTTGTCTCGGTCTATACCACTTGTGAGGACAAATATTTAACAAATCATCAAAGTTGAAATGTGTGGAGTTAAATAATCTAATCGCTAATCGCTTTTCAGGTTACCTCAGTTAGAAAGTCGGTAGAGACAGAATCCACTACCGGTAAGAAACAAATAAGTCAATGTTAAGCTGTATTTCAAACTATGCTCTCAATGTTTCCTATCATTCAAAAGCCTCCATCTCTCAGTCTGAGCCGTCACACTGGAACAGGTCAGTCTTGGTTTGTTTATATGTCTGACAATAACATCTACACACTCTTTAGACTTGTTTATTTCCTCAGATCGACTTCATCCAGCCCCAGTGAAGGCTGGACTGCAATAAACACGGTTCATCCTCCCTCCACCAGCTCCTTTCCAAGCTCTCACCCCCTTAACATCATCCCAGCTCCTGTGCAAACATACCTCATACAACAGCAGCCGCCCCTGAATACGTACCCGCCTGTTTTCATCCCTTCCACACCCCCATGGACTTCTGTGCCCATCCCCCAGGGGGCTCCCGTTCCGACTTTTACTTCCTCCTCCTCCACCACCTCTATCCCTCCACTGATCCCCAAAGAGATGATGTTGCAACACAGAAGGAAAACAGAAAGGTAACGGTTTCAAGAGCACCTTCTCGTTTTGATTTGCTTTCAGTCTCTGCACAGATCTAGATGTGTGTGTGTTTATCATACATATCATATCAAACTGTAGAGCAGAAGCAAGTGGATGCACAAATGAATAGTTGGAAATAAGATATGTTTTTTTTTTATTTATCCTCTTAGAACCCCCCCTCGAGGATCAGTGTACAGCCCTTCATATCACCGTTCAAAGTCCCATAAGTGTTCTCGCTCCACCAGCAGATCACCCTCACAGTCCCATTCCCACAAAAGATCACGGTATGCATTATTATTGGACCATCAATTTCATATTCTTGTGTCGTTTTAACTCTGGTTTCTTATTTCCTTCAGGCCTTATTCCCCTAAATCAAGTCACAGAGCCACGTCCAGTCGGTCCCACCCCTCTTCGCGCAAACACTCACCGACCACGACCTCAACCCCACGGCCGTACTCTATGCGCAGATCCGAATCTCCAACCGACCACAACAAGAGCCGCCGCCGCCACGACCAGCGCTCCACAAAGACTTCCACTCCCAGCAGAGGCAGCGGCTCATCCAGACGGGAGAACTCTCATAGTTCCAGAGAAGGCACGGACTGGAGTTTAGAATCTTACCTGCGCTGGAAACAAGACTACAAAGAGTGGTACGACAAGTATCTGAGCAGCTTCTACAGCCACTTCCACCATATGCCCCCTCCACCTCTAATGCCTCCCCCACAGCCAGACTGGCCCCCTTTCTCCCCGTACCACAGCAAAGCCCGATCACCTCCCTCTAGCGACAGCGTCACTTCCCAGTCCCGCTCGGAAACGTCTTCGTCATCGTACAGCGACAGACACTCGACTCCCACACAGTCGTTCAGTGACAGCAATTCCCCTCTGAGCGATAACTGCTCGTCCCTGGAGCCTCCAAAAGTGCCTCGTCGCAGGGATGAGAACCAAAGCGAGGTGAGGGAAAGTAGGAAAGACCACACCCGTCTGAAGTCACCCCAGAGAAAGAGTAAAGGTGAAAGTAAAAGGAAAGATAAGAAAGCGGTGAATAAAGAAAAAGATAGTAAGAGGCGTGAGGGTAAGGAGGATAGAAGCAGACAAACTGGACGCAGCCGAACACCAGACTCGAGGTCTGACAAGAAGAGGAAGAGGAGTGAAGAAACTTGCATTAATCAAAGCAGAAATATCCTCAAAGAGTCCTCAAGTTCTGACCCGATCCCAAAAGTGTTTGAAAGGGAAAAGCACAAGAAATCCACGTGGAAGGCCCAGCCGCTGACAGCAGAGAACGCTTGGGAAGGCAACGTGAGTGTGAAAACCCCTCAAAAGATCAACATCAACCTCAACCTGGACGTCAGAAGGAACGGGAGCGATGTAGACGAGGCCAAGAAAGCGATTAAAAAAGTGGAAGGCCGCACAGGTTCAGACGAGGTAGTTGTTGGCCCCATAATACCACATGAAGAAATGCGGGATGAGAAAAATGACTCGTGGGAGATATTTCCTGAAGACGAAGCCATTGGAGAAGATTCAGACCTGTGGCACTGCGCCCTGACGCCAGTTGAGGACGAAGAGGGAATAGAGGAGGAGGAGGAGGAGAGTGCAGGAAAAGCTCTAGTACAGCAGAATATTCCAGACTCTGAGCGGAGCAGAGAACTTATTGGAAGTACAAGCACAGACCGCAGCAGGTAAGGGTTTTGTTTAGTTCTGTGGTTTCTGTTGTGTTTTTGGTTATTATTTTTGTGTTTTTTTATTTGTTAATGCAGTTTGGCAATGGCTCCATCTGGAGCCGTGATCATCAGTGAGGAACCACAAAACGCAGCGGTGATTCATTTGGAGAAATACATGGAAAACAGAACATTAGAGAAGCCTAGAGATCATGTAAAGGTGTGCCTCGCTCTCATGTACACTGGACAGTTGCAGGTGGAATAACAGACTGAGATGAGATGGAAGTATCCTATTGAGACAGTGCTCAGACGATAATGATAATTGATAGGTTGAGTAATACCTACACACAGGGTTTTCCAAACCTTTTGAAAAATGCCTTCATCATTCAGAGATACCCAACCAGTCATAAACTATTGACCTGCAAAAACAGAGGTATTTAGAGTAATGTAGTGTATGCATGTATTTCAAAATATGAAGAAGGGCTGAATTGTCATTGCATTTGAAGTACTCACATTTAGATAATGCAGGAGAACTGTTGAGTAAAACATCACAAATTGATTTACTCAACAATGTTCAGGCAGAATTACTTAAGTACAGTCATTGTTGATTAACTCTACTTTAGTAATTATGAATTGCATTATTGCTCTTTTTTTATTATTATTAAAATGAGCACACCACAGTCAGTTATTTTTTCCCTTTTCCTAAATGTTTAGGTTGGCAATCCCAGACGGGAAAAGAGGGGATCTGACAAAGAACTGCAGTCAAAGGTTTCCTCAAATCACAGGGAAGTAAAGGAGAGGACAAAAAGGTTAGTAGAAGCAGTAGGCATGAACTCCAGTTCTAGTTTAAATGGCACCACTGTGCCCTCTAGTGGCCGAGCCGTAACTGACAACAGCTTTGATTTTGACAGAAAGTCAAAGCAAAGATCAGAGAAAGACAGTGAAGGCAGAGAGAGAGAAGAACACAGCCATCACAGAGAAAGGAAAAGCAGTGGCAGGTCTCATAGCAAATCTTCAAATGCTTCAAGCCAAGAATTTACATCAATTTTAGTTGAAGATCGATCCAGTAAATATCGAGAATCAGGTGAAAACAGGAACAGGGCCGGCCTCCCAAACAAATTCATTATTGAGTGGAAAGGTAACAGTGATAAATTTCTTTCTTCTCCACGAGACCGTGAGACCACGTCACACTCTCACAGCAGTGAGAGGCGGCAGCTCCCCTCCAAGACGGCTCCAGAAGACTGTTTAGGACAGAACTGGACATGCATAAGCCAGTGCTCTACCCCACCCTCCGCTCACTCAAGTCTAGGCATAGCCACAAGCATGAGGAAAAAGACTGAAGGAATGAATAATGATAGAACAGAGCCGAGGGAAAGTCGCCATGAGGAGCATGTATCTACAGACCGCTCATTCTACAGATCAAATGAACATGACGCCAAGAATGAGCAGAAAGACGAGAAGAAACACAAATCTCATAAAAAGGTCAAGAGACATGCCAGTTCTGATGAAGAGAAGAAACCAAAGAAGAAAAGTAAAGTTTGAGGTCATAAAAAGCATTTCTGACTAAAATACTTGAATTGTGTGATCTTTGAAAATGCCTTAATTTTGTGCTGCCTTAATTTAGCCTTTGCTGCATCACACTGAGAAAAAGCACTTTTAACTTGATGAAAATGTGACTGCAATGGAATAAGAAAACTGTTTGCACATGATTCCAACCTGCTAAAAGGTTTGTCCAGGACGAGTCTGACCAGAAGACTGTGATTCTTTGCCTCAGGGGCATTGATTGCAACGACTTGAAGCGTGAATATTCAAATTAAGAATATCAATCTTTTGTTTGTACATTTCAATTTTGTAAATGTAAAAAAAAAAAAAAAAGTGTATTTGAAGCTTTGTTGGGTAGATATAATTTGCCAAGAATTTTCTTTCCTGTTTTGACGGAAATAAAACCCACTGCAAGAATTTTGACTCCTGTTTCATTCTTTCATTTTCAAAAACAGACATCTTAGTTTTGAAAATATCCTTTGGTTTGTCTTCATGTTTTTATAAATGGCAGTATATTTGAAAGAAATTACTTAAAGGGTAAAACTGTTTTTGTGTAGCAGCAAAAAACTTGGTCAAAGGCAAACTTGTAAACCTTTTCAAATATGTTTTTCTCTCACTGCACTTCAATCTGTTTTTTTGAAAATTAACTTTTCTGGTGTATTACTTCACACACAACAAGTTTGCTGCCTCGGTTTTCATGCTCTTTCACAGCACACATTCGTCGACCATTTCCTCTGCAGTGTCCTCATCTTCAGGTAAGGACCACACTTCTCCACAAGTAAAGTTTTTGTTTTGCCTGCATGCAGCGCGGCCAAACTGGGCTTTTCTTGCCTCATTAACTCAGAGTTGGAATCCTGCCATGTCTTTCTCTCTGTATTCTGTTTTGGTCTTGTGACTAGAGTCAATTGTTGTGGCGCCAAAGTATGATGGCATCCCAATCCGGTGGCATCGGGACTTGGACTGCTGGCACGGACTCTGGATCAGGACCAATGGTCAGTTTGAGTTTTGATATTGTAAAGGCTCTTCATTAGCTTCAACCAGTTTGTAAAAACCATGGCTGCAATTATTGATGGTTTGAGTTATGGCCGCAAGATGACGCAATTTGTGGTCTCAATTAGAAAATGGTGGAGAGGAAGAAAATAAAAGATGACTAAGATTGCGTGATGGAGCAGCCTCAGTGGAAAAAACAAGATACATTTTTCATCTTGTCAGAATCTGAGTTATTTATTTTTACCCTTTTAAGTAACGGAAAAGTCAGATTAAGAGATTCTTTATTCGTCCCACAGTGGGGAAATTTCAGTGTTGCATCACCGGTTACAGAACAGTATGAAGCACAAGATTGATGAATGATAACTTTAATAAAATGAAATACAAATCTCTAACTCTAGCATCAAAAAGAAACAAGTATACAATCTTAAGCATAATGACTAAAAGTATGGTGTATTTAAGAAATGTGAGAATTTTGTTTTTGCTCATTGCTTCATATGTTTTTGTATTTTTCCTTTTGTGTTATATCTTTTGTTATCATAGTTTGAACAAAAATAGATCTTAAATCCAAAAGCTAATGTCCACTGTAGTATTGGTCAGACCATTGGCCATTATTAGCAGTTTTAAAATAAATCTGAGAAATTTCACTTGTTTTCTCCTCACTTCAAATAGATCAATTGGCTTGTGTTTTTGTAGTCTATGTTGTCTACTTCACGGAACAAAAAATACAGTTTTCAGCCATATAAACGTGTGTGTGTATATTATTGTCCATATACACAGACAGTAGACGGGGAAATGTCTGGGATATCTTACATTTATATAATCCAAACATCTTCAAAATGGGTTGAATTTATTGTTTGTTTATTTTTGTTTTTTTATGTAGTTACCAATATAACACTTAATATTACTTTGTTTTCTTTCTTTTATGATTTAAGCAGTAATTAGTACAAACAGTCCAATTTGCTGGAAAAACTGCAAAGTAACCTTTTTTTCCAAACACAACACCAATGACTGACAACTAGACAGCAGACACACACACACACATACACACGTCTGGACCAGCACACAAGCAGGAGAATTCCAAATCGAGGTATTCTTTCCCCCCATCATTATAATCGTCTAACAGTCTCGCCAGTCCCTTTTTGTCTGCGTCACCCCAGTCCTGTCCTTTTTTAAATATAATTATTTAATTTTTGCATTGTCCTTTTATCGGTGTGGGGGGTTTTCCTCGCCTTCTTTGTGCCTGCCGACGTCTGAGGGCACCGTGCCAGCCCAGCTTGAAGAAGACCCAGGCTGCGTGTAGACGGAGGGCTCTGGTGAGGGGGCTGTGGAAGAGGGTTTGGAGCTGGCAGCTGCAGGCACTTGTGTGGTTGTTGTGTGGTGCTGTTGTCAGACTGCGGGACCTGCTGCGTGCAAGCATGTCGTAGAGTAGTAGTAACACGTGTCCCATAGAGCCGGAGCAGAGGGCGCACTGGGAACTTATGCAAACATTCAATTGGGGGCTTTGTGTGTGTGTGTGTGTGTTGGGAATGTTATGACATAGAGGAGCGTGATGAGTGTTATCTTTTTGTTCAGTTTATTGGACAAAATTATGGCAACTCAATTCATATTGCATTTCAATTCAATTCAACTTATTCTTGTATAACCCTAAATCACAACAGTAGTTATCTCAGAGGACTTAGTTGAAACCGTTGAATTTGTCAACACAGATCAGAGACTCAAACACAAGAAATGCAATGATTTAAAACACATGGAGCCATTGGTCCATGAGGGGCAAATGACTATTGTCCGTAAGTGTTGATAAATGTCCATAGATATTTATTTTAATTTTGTACATGAGTTACAAAACCTAACGAATACAAGTTACCCACACATTGTCTGAGTATCTAATACATAACAACGGCACCAAAATAAATGAATACTGTTGAATTGAACATGGATAAGAAGTGTACATAAGCAAAATTATAATAATTATAGTGAATTGTGTCATGTACGGAGAAGTAGGAACCAACCCTTTTTCAGGTATTTTCATTTTTAAATATATCAGACAGATAATTTATCCTGCATCATCGAGAAATTGCTTCTGTAAAATGTCCCTAGATGTACGCTAGTCATGTGATCTTGTGTGTTTTGATTGCTGACCAAATTCCCTACAGTGGGGCGATGCAGTTTAGTCAGCCACCAATTGTCTAAGTCCTCCCACTTAAAAAGATGAAGTATATCTATGATGAAAATTATAGAAAGACGAGATGAGAAAATAAATAAAATCCAATCCCATCGCCTGTACATGATGTGGTTTCTAAATTAAGTCTAGAGTTTTGCAGCTAACTATGATTTTAGTAACGCAGAATTCTATGGATTATTACCCTTTTTGAGTAACCAATTATTCATATTGAAAAGGAAATACCCCTGAAATGTTTTTTGCGTTTGTGTCAAGAGTCAAAGCTGGTTCTGTGGTGTGGGGTGCAACTGTTTCTCACAGTTCAATTAACCATTTCATCAACATTTGGAAACATGTTTGTTATGTATTGATGTGTTTAAGCGGTTCAGCCCTGGAAGACAAATGAAGTATTAATTTACAAAAACATATCTGTTTTGAAAATGTGTCAAAAAGTTGTATTCCCTTGGCTACAATCTTCGCCATGTTTTGTTATTGGCAGTAAATTAGAAAGAATTTCCTCCAAAAATTGATTATTTTTGAATATGGCACTAGAATAGATCTGGCTTTTAAAAAAACTGCTTTGCAAATTGTAATTCTTTCAAATATGTTTCTAACAGCATCATCTGTTTTTGCAAATGAACTATTCAAATTATTACCATAGAATCCACAGTCAGTAAAGTGAGTTAAACCGTTAAATAGATTTGAAGTGACTCTATGAACTCTGAATTTTATGGTAATCATTTGCATCAAAGTTGCTGTGGTGGTGGGGGTGTATTTGAAAATGTTGTTCCTCATAGAGATCCTATTGTACTCGACCTCTAAAACATCAAAACATTCAGCTTTTATGTCTTTAAATTTAGGATGATTACAGTGACTACTAGTGGTGATGCAGTTGAACACAAGACCGTAAACATTATGCTAGAAACTCTGCCAAGTGCCACTCATAAACCCAGGCCGGAGAAAGCACAGACTTGTAATGAGTGCGCTGATCGTAAGTGAGATGTCTTGCCCGTGTCTGATGACATGGAGTACAGAGAGGGGCACCAGTCAAGTCAGTCCTACACTCCAGAGCTTTTGTTTTGTGCTGTGCCAGGAGGAGATCTTGGTTACTCACTTTGAAAAGAGTGGTGGCAGATGTGGGTTTGGCACTGAAGGAATGTGCTGTTTTACTCCGGTCTGGCAGCTGCACTTGTGATTGTGTCCATGCAAATCACAGCCCCTTTTGTATTTCTTAATCTCGTATGGTATTTAGCATTTGTAATGTGTCAGTGGCCTACAACATCACAAGCAGTGTGTGTCTGTGTGTGTTTCTTTGTGTGTGTGTGTGTGTATGCGTGCTTCTGCCCAGTCCTGTCTGTGACCACAAGTGTGCACAGAATAACAATGAGCATCTCTGTCTGCCCACTGCCCGTGTATGAGGCGGAGAGACAGCGGAGGTCTTTGCCAAGGGCTAATGTTGCCTTATTGGGTTTAAGAGCAGATTTAGATACAATCTCCTTTCATCTCGCTTCTGCCGCTTTCATCCCTTTCCACACACTCGCTTTACACCTGCATTTAATGACAAACTTTTGTGGCTGTCACATGTTAGATATTAAGCATTGCCATCAGAACAGTTGCTTTCAGTTACTTTGTTATGAGTTTTTCTTGTGTGTAGTTTGTGGGTATAAGGCTCTACATGGCTTCACTTTGCAATATGAAAAACATGATTACTATTTTATAATGTAGTAAGATATTTGAGCCTTACTCACTGGTTTGCTGCCTTGGTAACTTGCTAACTGGTTCTTGTTCTGTTTGGTCATCGTCTTCAGCAGGGAAAGGTCCTCAGGGGGTATCTGAGCTCATGTAATTCAAATCGTGTGGGACCTCATTCCACGGTTTGACGCAGATTCAACAAATGCTCTTTGTACTAAACTGGTGTCTAGGAGTATGTTTTTGTACGGTTGTGGGAGATGTATGCACTTGTATGGGGGTTTCCCTGCTGTATGTTTATTTTAGCCTTTTTTGTGTGAGAAGGAGGTTTGGATTACTGGATAAGACCGACGTTTGAAATACATTAATATGCTACGTCAATGTCCATGTGAATCATCCACGAGATCAGTTACAGTTTACAATCAGTGTTTTTGAATTGGGCTTGTTTTGACCAAAGAACTTTGGTGTCTGGTCTGCAGCAATTTTGGTCATTTGAGGTCAGTGACAAAACCACAAACTAAAGGAAGCAGGAAGGAAACTTTCATGGAGATAATAATGAAACCACAACATGTACACATAAAGATGCAGTCATGTACTACTCTCGTTTGGACTGAACTGCATTGAACAAGGCTTCCCTGAGACACAGAGCTGCAGTGTGTTGTTGTGTTGTGTGCATGTGGCCGCTCACTGGGCCCAGTGCTGATGTGTGCATGGCACAGATGAATCAGAGCTCGCTCCAGGGTTACAGGCTGTGCACATCGCTCATTTGTATGATCAACACACACACAGAGCCAGAGGGTACGCCGACGACTGCACTGGGCTCTTCCCCACTGTGTGTGTGTGTGTGTGTATGTGTGTTCACCTCGCTGTGTAGAATAATCTGACCTTAAGTTCTAGACATTATTTCAGGTTAATGGGCAAGATATCTTTTGGTGCAAGAGATGGTTAGTTCAGCAAGAAAATGTATTCAGGTTTATTTTATAGCACATTTCAAAGACTAATGTTGCCTAAAGTGCTTTGTTTTTGGAGTACTGATTCCAGAACACTCCATTCTTCACTCACCCATTCAATTCAGACCTATTGCTGATGTTTTTAGTGGTGGGGTAAATCAGAGGAAACCTATTCAGACATGGGGAGAACATGCAGGAACTCCACACAGAAATGCCCTGACTGGAGGCGGATTTGAACCCAGGATCTTCTTGCTAATCACTGCACTACTGTGCCAAATTATTACTTGAATTATTACTTTGACCTTATGCTCATCACTAGTGCTGTCCAAAAAATGATTTTACTTAAGTTAGAAATATAGTGTTCTCTTTAATTGCGAAAGAAATTCAAATAAAGTGTTTGTTCTGTAGAGATGGTATGCCTGTGTATCTAAGTATGTGCCTAAGTATCAAGTAATTGTACTTGAGTAAATATAAATGAGTACTAGCCAACTCAATATTGTCTTTCCACAATGACAATGAATGGCATTCTTCATGGAAATGGATCAGTTGTGTTCCTTGTGATAGAATAAGTTAATCATTTTTTAAGGGCAGTAAAAATAAATTCATTTTAAAAAGTCACGCTCATTCCCTCTCGCATTAGTCACCAAACCGGGCATCTCTTCTACTGCAACGATTCTTGTTAAGTAGATTGGACTTACAGCCACAACATTTACACCCAATAACAAAATAATGAAAAAAACCTCTGCTGATATTTCTTTCAAAACCAGTGACTCACTCTCTGAGCTGTAGCCACCTATTATTAGCATCTCTGCTGCAGCTGGGAGAGTTATGGGAACCATGCAAACTGTTGTGCTGTCTGTCATTCACATAAACATTGTGACACACATCCTTCATACTTATACTGTAGTTCATTGTGCTGCGGATGACAATCTTCGTCAAAATGACTGGCCCAGAGTCTTATTGACAAGGAGCATGGCATATTCAGTCAAAGCACGCATCAGGTGACTTAATAATACATGGGCATACGGGTCGAGGTGAAGGCGGGTGTCACTCGAGGTTGTGACAGACTCTAATGACACCGGAGGCTAAAGTTAGAACGTGACCCGGGCACTGACACAGGAATGTTGACATTTCAAGACGTCCTCGTTTTAAAGCTACAACACACCATGACCTACCAACACGTACTTTAAGGAAGGAAAAAGACACTAATACCAGTATGTTACTTAATCGTTGCATTACATTTGGGATTCTGTTGTTGTAAATTAAAGCTGGGGTACCCAACTTTCCAACCACACAAAAAGGAACTTTTTAAAACCCACTTGTTCAATACTACCTTCATTTAACTATTTATTTTATTAGCATGTATGTCTTAATAACCTGTCCATTTATCTAGTGTACAAAAAGCTTTATACGTTTTTTTTTTTTTTTTATTGGAAAAAATGCGATTTATGGAAATAAACTGTTTTGGAGCAAGGAACTCTGTAAAATGGATGTGTTTTTGGCCTCAGTAACTATAACAAATTTCTCGTTTAAAAAATATATTATGTTCATTTTTGTTAGTTTTCTTAATTTAAAAAAATCCATCATATACATTAATTTAACGCCTACATGTAATTCTTTGTTATCGCACACTTTTATATCCCTTCCTGCACCGCCTGCTAAAAATTTGTCCACGTTTTCATAAAGAACCAATGGCATTCTTGTACTATATCCTGTGATTGTGTTCCCATAATAGCTTTGGCACCAGCAATCCCAACATCTCGAGGAGGAGGAGGAGAGGGCTGCAGGAGCTGTGAATGTGTGTGTGAACCACAGCTTTGCCATTCATATGGAGATGGAGGCCAGCAAAAAGAAGGCTTTGTGCGTCTGTGGGTGAGTGCGGACGCCAGCCACAAAAGAACAAGAGTGAAACTACTGTAGGACACGGGGAGGGCTGGTTCTACGGGCTGGGGCTGCAGCGAAGGGAAATCAAACGTCGAGTTGTGTTGGGCCAAATGTATGTCTGACACGTCAAACCAGTGGGTTTAACAATGCACATAATAACAATAGCATTTTTTATTATTCTTGGCAGGGCAAGTTTATTTGTATAGCACAGTTCATACACACAGCAACAAAGTGAACAAAACAAGATGGAAACTATCATAAATAATCACTTTTTAAAAGAGTGAAGATGTAGTCCTTCAGTTGTATTCACAGCTAAACATAACTGTTTTTAAAATGGATTTGAACATTGTCAGAGTAGAAGCCTGTCTCACATTTTCTGGAAAACTTTCAGATTTTTGCTGCATAAATGTCCTGACTCTGGGCACCAGCAGGAGGCCAGTCCCTGTGTTCCTCTGCCTGAGTTGGTTCATATACACATACTTGTACACAAGCAGAGCTGCTGTAATGTATATTCTCTGAGTGACAGAAGGACAGTTCTTCTCTCATTAAAAAACAAGAAACACATTGCCTCCAAAATGTGACTATTTTACTGACCAAAAGATTTGGGCTGAAGTTTGTAACTTATGTTTTATTTTCCCACCACCAAAATCAAAAGTCACACAAGATGTGGCAATTACTAAAGCTAGGGTACCTAACTTTGTCCCCTGAAGTCTTGCAAAAGGAACATGTGAAGATCCTGCCGTTTTCATCTTTTTAGAAAACAAGTTATCTTTTGCTTGTATGAAAGTAAGCAAGTCACTATTTGATGCTTGAGGAGTTGGTAATAGTAATGTTTATTTACATACATCGCATTTTACAGACCAAGGTATGAGATTTCATAACACTTTGAAGCAACTTTTGTTAAAGTTAAACTCATCATTCTATCAATGTGCAGAAGCCAGTACTCTTCCCTTGTTTTGTCTATCTGAAGGCCAAGCTACAAGCACACCGTGGCAGCTGCTGATTGGAGGTCTCCATGCCTCCGCTCTGTATAATACACTTGCATTCTATTGTATCTGTGATCGTGTGCTTTGTTCGTGCTGTCTCTACCATCGACAATAAAACATGTCTTCTGTCTGAATGTAAGACGCGATCCCAGACTATGTCATCTTCTTCAGGTGGTGGAAGGATGCGGGCCTTGTCTGCAACATCTAGAGAACAGAAGACTTTTTTTTTTACACAAAAAGTGTTTTTTTTTTAAGCCAAAACTGAGAAACCTCAATAGAATGCATCTGGATCAGCACATGGACAATCTGCACAGCCCCTGATTCCAGTCAGGCTGTGAGCTGCTGAGACATGGACAACACCAGCGTCCTCTTTTGCATTTGGAACAATTGGATTTCTGAATTTGGACATAATTTGGAACAATTGGATTGCTGAATCTGGACACTAAAGCTGAAACGTGTGATTGAAAGACACGTCACAGAAGAATTCATGGCTCGACACAAATGCAGCCTGAAGAAAACTAAAACGGAGAAGTGGGAGAGACTGTTTTCAAAGCAATATCTGGAACCATCGACTGATGAAGTTTGGTATTTTACTGAAGATTGTTGACAAGTTTTATGAAAGATCTGAACATGTTTTATGAGTTTTCTGAGTTTTTGAAGTATTCCGAGTTCTGAGTTTTTTGAAGTACCGAGTTTATGAGTTTTTGAAGTATTGAGTTATGATGTTATGTTGCTGTTTATCGATCCTGATGGTCACACGTGAATGTATGACCAGAGGGGGGAATATGAGATTTCATAACACTTTGAAGCAACTTTTGTTAAAGTTAAACTCATCATTCTATCAATGTGCAGAAGCCAGTACTCTTCCCTTGTTTTGTCTATCTGAAGGCCAAGCTACAAGCACACCGTGGCAGCTGCTGATTGGAGGTCTCCATGCCTCCGCTCTGTATAATACACTTGCATTCTATTGTATCTGTGATCGTGTGCTTTGTTCGTGCTGTCTCTACCATCGACAATAAAACATGTCTTCTGTCTGAATGTAAGACGCGATCCCAGACTATGTCATCTTCTTCAAAGGTCACCCAAAGCGCTTTACAATGTTCAGAGTTCAGATATTGATGACGAAACCGACTCGCCGAACACACTGGACCATCAGCTCCCAATCAACACCATCCATTCACTCTCTCATTTACATTCATACCTATTGTGCATGTTTTTAGTGGTAGGGGAAACCGGAGCACCCGGAGGAAACCTACGCAGACACGGGGAGAACATGCAAACTCACTCAGAAAGGCCCTGTTCCGACCAGGATTCAAACCCAGGACCTTCTTGCTGAGAGGCTATCCACTCAGCCACCGTGCTGCCCACGAGTTAAGGTGCTCTTTCTTTTCTTTCTAAAAAGCAGATCTATAGATGTGACAGAGGCCACACTGATAGAACCAAACTGTTTTGAGAGAGAGGAACTATAATTTGTTTTACAGTTAATTATTGTGGTTTGAAAATAAGGTACTGCAGCTTTATGTTGAAATTGACGCTGTGCTTTTCCTGTTATTACTTCAACTATTTGGCTTGTTTTAGATTCTACAATGTGATGTTTTGTTTGTATTCACAACTATTTAAGTTTTTCGAATTTTGCGTTTAACAACCCTAGAATGCAACCCTACCCTCGCAGTAAATTCCTCCACTAATAATGAAACTGAAAGTAGTCTTGAGCACAATCACATTTCCTACGGAGGACTATAAACACAAGGTCACAGACACCAGTCCTATAAGGTACCAGCTGGAGAGCACTATTGTAGCAGGTATTAAGTTACTGCTACAACTAATGAGACTGTATAATGGGGTTCTCTTCTAGTTCAATGAGAGCAGCATTTAGTGTAAGTGAATCAAACCGAGCGCCAACCGGTCCCTCAAGCGTCCATTACTTCTCCAAATTCAAATTACAACCTCAAAATGTAAAACTCATCACCTTTCTGCGTTTCCCTGCTTCTCAGTTTCCGCCGTGGTTCTAATCTGTTCCCATTTCTCTCTGCACAGCCACACGTTAAATTCTCCTCAAGTCCTTCCTGCATGCATTCTTTGCTCTCTCACTTTTTCCCCTGGTCTGCTTCTCGTTCTTGCCCTGAGCCCTGTATACGCCCAGACTGTCACCGCAGTGCCTTTTGTTCTGGTGAGAATAGAAAGCCATCGCTGTTTGGCACCAGGCCATCAAGTCTCCACATTTTTAAACATTTGCACCATCTGATCTCCCCGTCTGTGGCAAACGTAGTACGAACTTGCCAGGGTTAAAAATAATCTGTGTTTTCTGATGCACTACACTGTTACTGCTTGTTTAGTCTGGGCAGTTTTTTTTTTTTTTTCAATCCGTCCTTGAAATTCCTTTTGTATTTTTTTATTTTGGAACAGTAAACTCAGTGGTGCAGTCTCCTGTTTCCAAGCAACTACTGACAAGTGGTTTGTTCCAAGCCAGGTGCATTCACAATTGTTTTCCAAAACCAAATGCCCCAAGGAGGATGGCTAAACAAACAGTTGTGCCAAGATTTTACAAAAGCGCCTTCCCTTCTGTTGATATTACAGACTGGAATAAGAAGACATGCAAAGGTCTATGTGATGTGTGCTTTGAAATGTAGTTATTTTTATTTAATATTGATTATTTGATAGGGATAAGTATGTTTCATGAGCACATGTTACACACATTACCGTATTTTTCGGATTATAAGTAACAGTTTTTGTCATACTTAATCTTTAGTTTTTCAGAAGTGACACCGAGGAAGATTTCTTCATTGCATTTAGTTATTTGGCACTTTTAGCATGTTCTATATTCTAAAGCAGGTGTCTCCAACCTTTTTCACCCAGAGAGCTTTCCCGGGAGGATTAAGGCTGAGAACTACTCCTTAAAACGGCCCTGAGAAAAAAGTTGTGATAAATTGATGCGAACAAGCCTGATATTAGGAACAGTCATTATTTATCATCACATATTTGTTACTAGTGACAAAATAAAATGCTTTTTCAGTAATAGTATTGATCCTTTTTCATTATCTATCTGAAATATTGCATTATTGTTTGATTTGTTCATTTCTAAGTCCTTTGGCAAGCTACCTAGAAGGGGGTGGCGAGCTATTGGTGGCTCCCGAGCTACAGGTTGGGGACCCCTGTGCTAAAGTTATTTGAATGACTCCTACCATGATACGTTAGTTTAAACCAGGCACGTTCTCTGTTCGTATTTTAAAATGCCTTTCAAGATGAGATGTCTATTCTCGGTGTTGGATTGAGGGGCGACAGTAGCTCAATTGGTAGAGCATTGGCCTTAAGGCCAGAAGGTCGTGGGTTCAATTCCCACCTCTGCACCTTCTCCACCGACTCCCAGTGATGACTGTTGTCGTTGTGTCCTTGGGCAAGACACTTAACCCCATTTTGCCCAAAGCCCCCACTGAAATATCAAGGCTATGCTCACACTCAGAGAGCAGCCGTCCTCCTGTGGACTCACCACCTGCAGAGGGTCAGTGAGGGGCTGGTGCTATGAGACTTGGGTGGCATCTCTGACTGTCACCCCCCTGACCCAGAAATGGATTAAAAGGGTAGAAAATGGATGGATGGATGGACATTCTCTGTTCGTATTTTAAAATGCCTTTCAAGATGAGATGTCTATTCTCGGTGTTGGATTGAATCAAATATATTTCCCCCAAAAATGCGTATTTTTTTCCTTTTTTATTAGGGATTTTTGGCTGGTGCGATTTATACTCCGAAGCGATTTATAATCCGCAAAAATACATTACTGAACATTTTATCCAGGGCTGATCCTCAAGGTCTGTTCATAGTTGGGCCTTTACAAGCGATAAAACAATCTCAAACAAAAAAAACGGGGCAGAAAACGCAGCACATAATAAATATTTTGATCAGAGGTGGTCACATGTCTGACCTCATTATAGGGTGTCTTTAAGTTTGTGTTTGATGGTTTTATTCTCTTGCATATGTGGCTATTTTTCATCATCAGAATTGTAAAGATATTCAAGTAGCATTGACGTTGGTCTGATATTACTTTGTGGTTTTGGTGGGGAGTGTTCCATTCCCTTATGACAAGTGAGTGTCATGTTTAATTTCAGATTTTCCTCATCAATCCTTATTGTAGACTTAATCCAGCGGTACTCCCTGTCCATGCACCTCGCAGGACATTTCCCAGCGTGTATTTGAACTCCACCAGTGTAGGTTTAATACTTCCTACAGCGTTTTTATACATCTTTTTCTGTGTGCTTTGGTCAGTTTGTTTCTTTTGGTTTAGTCCATGCAAATCCTTCCAACAAACATTTCCATTGCTGTAACCCGACGCTGGTATGAATAAGTCATGCAGGAAGAAACTGTACTCGAACACATGCCAAAGGAGTCTGCTTAGTCTCATTCATGCACTGATCTGCTTGTGTTTAAAAAGCCTTGTATTTTATCATTATCACGCGCTCTGCTCTATTGTCAAAACATTTGGATGGTCTATTTCAATCGCTTGTTAGATTAATTCAACTTGGATTCTTGCACTTTGCAGCTGCCACAATATCTGTAGTGTTTTCACTCCATTCTCAGTATAATCAGATATATTTTTTGACAATCACTGGATTTCACTTCATGTAAGATGAACAATCATGACATTATATATAGAGGAATAACATCCGGGTCGATACTAAAACGCATTTACAGCTATTTATCTTTGTGTCCTCTTTATTCCTACCTACTGTCACTGAAATCTCCACTGTGGCACGAATTGAAATTATCTGTATTTTAGTCAAGTTATAATTGCTTGTTTATATATGTAATAATTGTTCACTAGTCTTGTTTATTGCATTTCAAAGCCTTGGCCGAGTGAATAGCACTCTCACCTCTCAGCAAGAAGGTCTTGGGTTCGAATCCCGGTCGGATCAGGGCCTTTTGTGAGTGGAGTTTGCATGTTCTCCTTGTGTCTGCGCAGGTTTTCTCCAGGTACTCTGGTTTCCCCTACCACTAAAAACATGTAAAGTACAATGGGTCTGGCATGCGGCTCCTGTACTGGTGACCCCGCTACCATCCGAATGCCCAAAAATAACCTTTTTAAACCGCTTTGTGACTCTGGTCTGTGAAACGCGGTATATAGATATAGATTACTTACTACTATACAATTCTGCAAATCCACCAACTTACTCTTTTGTCATTTTTCCCATCATTATAATCAGCAAACAGGTGTAA